AAAACTGACATCATAGCACATAGCTCGTGGATAGGTCAAAGAATCTGGTAAACAAGGGTTTTTTTTTCTCTGAGTTGCGCTAGCCCAGGGGCACATGGCCTGGGATAAATAATTTACCTTGTTTCTTTATCGGATTCCTTATCTACAGACTGGGAGATCACTTATTTTATACACTTTCCACTTTTCACCTGTACTCTTCCGGTAGGCTGGGATCCTGGCGGGAAAGATCAATTCAAAGTTCTTGAGAGCCCTTCTCCAGTGCACTTGGATGACAGGAATTCAGGTGACGTGGAGGTCCTGCCTTAAATCCTGCTGCTAGGATTTTTCTTTGCTTTGGAGAACAGCCATGTTCAGGTACAGGAAGGAAAACAGACCTAGAAAAGAGAGCCCAGGAGGCAAAGGAGAACCCCAAGAAGGCTGGGTCATGGATGCCAAAGAAGAGAACCTCCAGACGGCAGAGGGGTCCCTGACACTGATACCTGGGAAACAGCCACTCGGTGGGTGAACGGGAGACCAGTGATGAGGGCGTGGGCGAACATAGATGGCAAAGGCTGGGAGGAGATGTGGTTAGATTGGAAACTTGGAGAAATGTGGCTATGAAAGAAAGAACACTGACAAGTTGAGAGGGCAAGGGGCTTAAGATAAGGCTTTTTCTAGCTAGAAGAGACCTACATGTGCTTACAGGCAGACGGAAGAAACCTGTGCAAAGGAAGAACTTGGTCGCTCAAAGGAGGACCACTTATTTGGGAGCTGGGAGTGGAACTGCAGTCACAGCATACGGTGGGACCTCGATAAACGTTTGTTGATGAGCCGACTACACAGTTTGCACTGGCTAGTAAACACTGAGGTGCTGTGTGGTATTAGGGCTAAGTGCGAAGGCTCTGAGTTCTGTATAATTTGGGGCAAGTTGCTGAATATTGCTTAAGTCTCGTTTTTCTCATCTGTAAAATGGAGGACAAATGCTAACACCTGTCTTTGTGTAAGAATTGAATGTTAATACATGAAAACACTTTGAACAGCTCCTGGCTTATAGTGAGTGCTGAAAATTAGATTTAGTAATAAAAAATAATGAAAAATGACAGCTATCTTTGAGAATTCATGACCTTGTTTGAGCTCAAGCTCAAGTTTCATTGTATAGCAACATAAAATAAGAAGGTAAAGGTGATTAACATGACCCAGGGCATACACTGAGGTTACTTTTTTGAAATAGGACCGAATTTCAACTTCTATTCTTATTTTTCTTTCCTATTCCCTCCCATGAAAACATACTTGAAAATAAATCAAGATTTTTGGTTAATCAAATCTTAAACGTGATCACATTAAATGTTTTGGAGACCCTAAGTTACAAATTCTTTTTCCCGTATAACTGAAACTTTGTACTCTTGGATTAATACCTCCCATTTTCCCTCCCCCCAGCTCCTGACAATCACCATTCTACTCTCCGCTTCTATGAGTCTGATTATATTAGATGCCTCATATAAGTGGTTTTATATGTTATATGTGTCTGTGTCTGGCTTATTCACTTACAAAATGTCCTCCAGGTTTATCCATGTTGTTAGAAATGGTGAGATTTCCTTCTTTTTTTAAAGCCGAATAATATTCCATTGTGCCTTTTTAAAAAAAATATTCATTTCCTTTATTCACCTATGGACATTTAAGTTGCTTCCCTGTCTTGGCTATTGTGAATAATGCTGCAATGAACATGGAAGTGCAGATATCTCTTCAAGATCTTGATTTCAATTCTAATAGATATATAACCAGAAGGAGGATTGCCGAATAACATAGTAGTTCTATTTTTCCCTCCCCTCAGGAGCCTCCGTACTGCAACAGTGTGCAAGGATTCCTTTTCTCCACATCCTCAGAGCACTTGTTATCTCTTGACTTTCTGATAACAGCTACCCTACCAGGTGTGAGGTGATATCTCATTGTGGTTTCGATTTGCATTTCTCAGATGATTAGTGATGTTGAGTGTCTTTTCCTGTACCTGTTGGTCATTTGCATACCTTCTTTGGAGAAATTCAGATCCTTTGCCCATTTTTTAACCAGGTTATTTACTTATTTGCTACTAGGTTGTTTGAGTTCCTTATCTATTTTGAATATTAACCTCTTATCAGATATGGTTTGCAAATATTTTCTTCCATTCTGTAGGTTGCCTTTTCATTTTGTTGATTATTTTCTTTGCTGTGAAGAAGCTTTTTAGTTTGATGCAATCTCACTTTTCTATTTTTGTTTTTGTTGCTTGTGCATTTGGTGTCATATCCACAAAATTGTTATCAGGGCCAATGTCAAGAAGCCTTTCCCCAATGTTTTTTCCTAGTTTTATGATTTCAGGTCTTATGTTTACGTCTTTAACCCGTTTTGAGTTGATTTTTGTCTCAGGTGTAAGATAAGAGTTCAATTTCATTCTTTTGCATGTAGATATCCAGTTTTCCAAAACCACTTATTGAAGAGATTATCTTTCTCCCATTGCGTGGTGTTGGCACCTTTGTCAAAGATGAGTTGCCTGTATATGTGTGAGTTTATTCTGGGCTCTCTATTCTGTTTCATTGGTATATAGGTATATA